CGGGGCTTTTCACTTTGGTTTCCTGAACCGAAATTCCCATCCCTTGGAGCACCTTCCCTGAAAGGTCTCACTGGTGGGTAAAACAACACTCTGAGGGTGTCTCTGCACCCCCAGAGCACATCACGACGTGGCTGCTGCTGGTTTTTATCCAAAGAGAAGTGACCACACTCAGTGACGGGTAACGACGAGCGAGGCCTCCGGAGGAGACGTGAGAAGAAGGTTCTGCACCCACTGCCAGTGCTGCCCGGGGTTAAAATGCAATGAGTCCTGGGTTTGCAGAGCTGGGGTGGCTCAGGGCTGTGCTGGGAAGCAGGGCAGTGAAGGCTGAAAATGCAGCATGAAGTAAAAGAAAGCAGAGAGGAAGCAAGGTCTGTATTTAAGGAGAAACTGTTGATACTTGGATTCATCCTCGCCCGGCTCACACGTGGTGCTGCAGGCAGCACAAACCTTACACTGGGATTTGGGAGGGAGCTGGAGGGGACAAGAAGTGAAACTCTGGGCTCTTGGAGCCTGCACACTTTGTGCTGCTGCTCCATGTGAGTACCTGCCCCCAGAGCACCCTTGCTGCAATCTCCAAGCTCGCAGAAGTTCAGCACACCAGGGAAACTGAGGTTGTCTTACTGAGGTCCAGAAAGGAGAAGGGACAGCAGCAGTGAGGGGCTTCTCCAGGAAAAGCTCTTTTAAATAGGAGAAGTAGTTTGTGGGAGTCCTGGGAAAAAAAACAACAAGGAGAGAAAGAAAAAAGAAGTCACATGAAGGAGAGGAGCCTCAGGGAGGTGTCTCAGGACCAGCCCCTCTCCAGGGACAGGGCCCAGGGTTTCCTTTCCCTCTAACTGCCCTTGTTCTGCCCAGTTCAGGAGGGATGGGGCAGGAGCTGCACTCCCGAGCTTCACAGATCCTTTCTGGCAACCTCATCCTTCTCCCCTACCTGGGGGTTTTCTTTCTGCCATTGATTTTTTTTCCCCTGTCCATCCAATTCCTGGGAAGCTGTTGAGGAGTGGGCATGACCCCCCCACCCCAGCCTCCCTGCCTGCAGCCGCCTGCTGGGATG